TATCAAGGTTGGGCTGTGTACTGAGGCAGGAAAGCGAAAGGCAGTGAGTGGCGACGCTTCCGGAGTTAGATTGAAAAGTTCATGAGAAGAATTTCCCCACCACACGACTTGGAGCTGGCAGCATCACAATACACTTCAAAAGGTTTGGCCGTGTCTGGAATGACCAACACAGGAGCACTCGTTAATTTCCTCTTTAATTCCTGGAAGCTCTCCTCACATTTATCTGTCCAAGCAAACGGCTGGTCCTTCCTGGTGAGGGAAGTCAGAGGGGCTACTATCTTAGAAAATCCCTCAATGAATCTCCTATAATAGCCCGCGAGTCCCACAAAGCTTCTAACCTCCGTGACTGAACGTGGACTCTCCCAATCCAGCACTGCTTTCACCTTGGCTGGATCCACTGCAATACCACCAGCAGAAACAACGTGCCCCAAAAATTGGATCTCCTTCATCCAGAATTCACACTTTGAACGCTTGGCATACAGCTCTTTCTCCCTCAACACGCTCAAGACAATCCTCAAATGGTCTTCATGCTCTTCAAAGCTCTTGGAATAAATGAGGATGTCATCAATAAACACCACAACAAATTTATCAAGGTACGGCCTGAAAATTCTGTTCATGTAATCCATGAAGATTGCAGGTGCGTTAGTCACTCCAAAGGGCATCACCACATACTCATAATGGCCATAACGAGACCGAAATGCAGTCTTCTGAATGTCCTCCTCTTTCACTCTAATTTGATGATAGCCCGAACGTAAATCTATTTTAGAAAACACACACGCACCATGCAATTGATCCAGCAGATCGTCTATCCTTGGTAGTGGATACTTGTTCTTGATGGTCAGCTTATTAAGTTGTCTATAATCAATGCATAGCCGTGAGCTGCCATCCTTCTTCTTTACCAACAATACAGGCGCTCCCCATGGTGAAGCACTCGGCCTGATGAACTTCTTATCCATTAACTCTTCAATTTGCTTCTTAAGCTCTACCAACTCAGCTGGTGCCATTCTGTAAGGTTGAACCGAGATGGGTGCAGCAGTGGTTACCAAATCAATTGTGAATTCTACCTCACGGATGGGAGGTAGACCAGGTACTTCATCCGGAAAGACATCTGAAAATTCATCCACTACCGTTCGTCCTCCACTGTTATCAACATTGTATGAACGCTCTATCTCATTGCCTTCATACGTCATGATAAGGAAACAGCTTGCTCCCTCCATGATGTCCTCCTTAAACTGTCCGAGAGTAATTGACAGTTCTTCTTCATCTGCATCTGGAAAGACTAACTCCTTCTTTCCACAATCAATGAGGATCCGATTGGTAGTCAACCAATCCATCCCCAAAATTACTTCTAAGTCTTGAAGGGGTAAACAAATGAGATTGACCTTATATCTACGTCCCTCAACTTCTATAGGACATCTTACACAAACTGTAGATGTCTTAATCCCACCAGCCGCTGGGGTTGACACCACCAGATCGAACTGTAACTCGCTCTCCACTAGCCCCAACTTCTCAACACACGCCTTCGAGATGAAGGAATGAGTTGCCCCCGAATCATACAACACATCACATGGCTTTCCAAAAAGTAAGCAAGTGCTGGTGATGAATGTACCTGAACGAGCAGCTTCAGCACCAGTGATAGCATACACCCTTCCTGTGGCTTGTGCACGTCCACCTCTCCCTTGTTGAGCTCTTCCAGCATTTGGCGGTCTCATTACCGCTCGTCCTCCCACATTACACTCCTGATCCGAGTGTCCATTCCTCCCACATTTGTTGCAATGTTTTCCTCCAGCAAGTTGAGGACAAGCCCATCTCAAATGTGGTCCTCCACACTGATAGCACGTTAAACTCCTTGGCTGTCCAGTTTGGCCAACAGTGACCAAGGCCTGTGATCCACCAGATGATTGAGTTGGACGAACGTATGGGGACCTTCTCACGTTCGTAGTATTTCTGGATGCAACCTGCCCCCTATTCAATTGCTGCTTCTTCTGTTGTTCGGCCTCAGCAACGTTCTTCTCCAGAACCTTGGCTCTCTCAACCATGGCAGGGAAGGATTTAATACACAAGCAGGATATTAACACTTTCAGATCACTCCTCAGCCCATTCTCAAACTTCCTGCATTGCCATTCTTCACTGGTTGCCATGGTATTAAAACGGACCAGATGTTTGAATTTGTTGGTGTATTCCGAGACGGACATACCACCTTGCACCAGTTGAAGGAACTCCACTTCCTTAGCAAACCGTACACTGTCTGGAAAATACTCTTCATAAAATTTAGTTCTAAAAACCTCCCAAGAAATTGGATTCTGCGCGTCTGTCAGGATGGCCTTCATGCTCGCCCACCAGTGACTAGCTTCACCAGTTAATAAGTATTCTGTAAATGCCAAACGATTGTCATTTGGACACCTCTTGGCATCATAGATACGCTCCATATCCCTCAACCATTGATCAGCTTCATCCGGAAGCCCTTTGCCATTGAATTTGGCTGGGTGGTGTTGTAAGAAACTCTCCAAACTCCATTCTGCATGAGGTGCAGCAGTAGAAGAAGAGGCTCCTAGTGTGCCTCGGGTAGTGGACAAAATGTCCATCAATTGCCTCTGCGTTGCTTCAGAATGAACACGTGAAGCCTCCAGACTTTGCATTGCTTCCTGGTTTTGCCTCATCAAGGCAGCGTTCTGTTCTATCAAAGTGGTGTTCTGTTGTTGAAGCCTGTCAATAACAGTCTCCAACATTCTGGAATTGTTAGAAATATCAGCCTCGTTTGGCTGAGGTGGGGGAGGAAGTCTAGGAGCCATTCGTTTTATGGATCAGAGAAAACGAAAGTTAGTTATGTTCAAGAGTTAAAAATAATAACTCATCAACACACAATAAGCACACAACGAAAACATAGTGTACTCATACCCTACATGTCCTTAAAAGAACAAAACTGCTCTGATACCAATAAATGTAACATCCCAATAAATAGTAATTACCATTAATCAGAACTAATCACATTTACAGAAAATACAGTGCAGCCTTAATATTTACAACAGCTGCTCCAAAAGAAAACAGCACGTACAGCAATTTACAGAGTTCAGAATTTATCTAAATTTACAAAACCAGTTCTGATTGAACAATTCTGCAAAACTATATACAGAACTTCCAAAATACAGTACAGAAAATCTAACAGCCACTACGGAACTAGTCCCTACTGCTCCGATTTAACTTCAACTTCTACCAAGTTGGCATCCTCCAAATTTTCTTCTTCCAGCATTGATTCCAAGGGTGCCTCACCATCTGCTCACATCCACAACAGATGATCATTGCATTGACAAGACGGACATACAGAAACAGTAGACAACACAAGGAAATTGCAAGGGTAAGCTTAGGTAATTTAATTCAATACAATCAACATACTTTTTAACGTAGTAAATCAATCATACATTTCATACAACATTAAACATATATATCCACGCATACAGTAACTCATTCGAATTCTCATAATTTAAGACTGTCCGGACTGTATGATCCATGTATCTACAGGCGTTCCTGCACCCGGGTGATGTAATAACTGGGATACCCTCAACAGCTGCCACCCGAGGTTAACCCTTATCAGTCCAAAGTACTATGTAGGACTAGGGCCTCCTGCCATTCCCACGCATGAACTACTCTCCTCTACATGAGGATGAGCAATCACGGAATATCAGGATGAACAGCCATCAGTAGCTTATCCATGGTCATACTACACTACTTCTCATATTCACATGCCCCAAGGCGCACCTCTAGTTGCAGCCAGTATCTCCATCAATTGCTTTGCGTGTTTTCAGAAATTAAAACGCGAGGCCTCCAACCTTGCATAGCAGCGTGGTTTTGCTGCATCAGGTGCGTTCTGCTCCGAGTAACAGGTTGTGTTCTGTTGATGCAGCTTTCACCACGGGTTTCCAACAACCTAGTGTTGTGGACGTATCGGACTCATTCGGTGAGGAGGAGCATCACAATACACTTCAAAAGGTTTGGCCGTGTCTGGAATGACCAACACAGGAGCACTCGTTAATTTCCTCTTTAATTCCTGGAAGCTCTCCTCACATTTATCTGTCCAAGCAAACGGCTGGTCCTTCCTGGTGAGGGAAGTCAGAGGGGCTACTATCTTAGAAAATCCCTCAATGAATCTCCTATAATAGCCCGCGAGTCCCACAAAGCTTCTAACCTCCGTGACTGAACGTGGACTCTCCCAATCCAGCACTGCTTTCACCTTGGCTGGATCCACTGCAATACCACCAGCAGAAACAACGTGCCCCAAAAATTGGATCTCCTTCATCCAGAATTCACACTTTGAACGCTTGGCATACAGCTCTTTCTCCCTCAACACGCTCAAGACAATCCTCAAATGGTCTTCATGCTCTTCAAAGCTCTTGGAATAAATGAGGATGTCATCAATAAACACCACAACAAATTTATCAAGGTACGGCCTGAAAATTCTGTTCATGTAATCCATGAAGATTGCAGGTGCGTTAGTCACTCCAAAGGGCATCACCACATACTCATAATGGCCATAACGAGACCGAAATGCAGTCTTCTGAATGTCCTCCTCTTTCACTCTAATTTGATGATAGCCCGAACGTAAATCTATTTTAGAAAACACACACGCACCATGCAATTGATCCAGCAGATCGTCTATCCTTGGTAGTGGATACTTGTTCTTGATGGTCAGCTTATTAAGTTGTCTATAATCAATGCATAGCCGTGAGCTGCCATCCTTCTTCTTTACCAACAATACAGGCGCTCCCCATGGTGAAGCACTCGGCCTGATGAACTTCTTATCCATTAACTCTTCAATTTGCTTCTTAAGCTCTACCAACTCAGCTGGTGCCATTCTGTAAGGTTGAACCGAGATGGGTGCAGCAGTGGTTACCAAATCAATTGTGAATTCTACCTCACGGATGGGAGGTAGACCAGGTACTTCATCCGGAAAGACATCTGAAAATTCATCCACTACCGTTCGTCCTCCACTGTTATCAACATTGTATGAACGCTCTATCTCATTGCCTTCATACGTCATGATAAGGAAACAGCTTGCTCCCTCCATGATGTCCTCCTTAAACTGTCCGAGAGTAATTGACAGTTCTTCTTCATCTGCATCTGGAAAGACTAACTCCTTCTTTCCACAATCAATGAGGATCCGATTGGTAGTCAACCAATCCATCCCCAAAATTACTTCTAAGTCTTGAAGGGGTAAACAAATGAGATTGACCTTATATCTACGTCCCTCAACTTCTATAGGACATCTTACACAAACTGTAGATGTCTTAATCCCACCAGCCGCTGGGGTTGACACCACCAGGTCGAACTGTAACTCGCTCTCCACTAGCCCCAACTTCTCAACACACGCCTTCGAGATGAAGGAATGAGTTGCCCCCGAATCATACAACACATCACATGGCTTTCCAAACAGTAAGCAAGTGCTGGTGATGAATGTACCTGAACGAGCAGCTTCAGCACCAGTGATAGCATACACCCTTCCTGTGGCTTGTGCACGTCCACCTCTCCCTTGTTGAGCTCTTCCAGCATTTGGCGGTCTCATTACCGCTCGTCCTCCCACATTACACTCCTGATCCGAGTGTCCATTCCTCCCACATTTGTTGCAATGTTTTCCTCCAGCAAGTTGAGGACAAGCCCATCTCAAATGTGGTCCTCCACACTGATAGCACGTTAAACTCCTTGGCTGTCCAGTTTGGCCAACAGTGACCAAGGCCTGTGATCCACCAGATGATTGAGTTGGACGAACGTATGGGGACCTTCTCACGTTCGTAGTATTTCTGGATGCAACCTGCCCCCTATTCAATTGCTGCTTCTTCTGTTGTTCGGCCTCAGCAACGTTCTTCTCCAGAACCTTGGCTCTCTCAACCATGGCAGGGAAGGATTTAATACACAAGCAGGATATTAACACTTTCAGATCACTCCTCAGCCCATTCTCAAACTTCCTGCATTGCCATTCTTCACTGGTTGCCATGGTATTAAAACGGACCAGATGTTTGAATTTGTTGGTGTATTCCGAGACGGACATACCACCTTGCACCAGTTGAAGGAACTCCACTTCCTTAGCAAACCGTACACTGTCTGGAAAATACTCTTCATAAAATTTAGTTCTAAAAACCTCCCAAGAAATTGGATTCTGCGCGTCTGTCAGGATGGCCTTCATGCTCGCCCACCAGTGACTAGCTTCACCAGTTAATAAGTATTCTGTAAATGCCAAACGATTGTCATTTGGACACCTCTTGGCATCATAGATACGCTCCATATCCCTCAACCATTGATCAGCTTCATCCGGAAGCCCTTTGCCATTGAATTTGGCTGGGTGGTGTTGTAAGAAACTCTCCAAACTCCATTCTGCATGAGGTGCAGCAGTAGAAGAAGAGGCTCCTGGTGTGCCTCGGGTAGTGGACAAAATGTCCATCAATTGCCTCTGCGTTGCTTCAGAATGAACACGTGAAGCCTCCAGACTTTGCATTGCTTCCTGGTTTTGCCTCATCAAGGCAGCGTTCTGTTCTATCAAAGTGGTGTTCTGTTGTTGAAGCCTGTCAATTACTGTCTCCAACATTCTGGCATTGTTAGAAGTATCAGCCTCGTTTGGCTGAGGTGGGGGAGGAAGTCTAGGTGCCATTCGTTTTCTGGTTCAGAGAAAACGCACGTTAGTTATGTTCAAGAGTTAAAATTAATAACTCATCAACACACAATAAGCACACAACGAAAACATAGTGTACTCATACCCTACATGTCCTTAAAAGAACAAAACTGCTCTGATACCAATAAATGTAACATCCCAATAAATAGTAATTACCATTAATCAGAACTAATCACATTTACAGAAAATACAGTGCAGCCTTAATATTTACAACAGCTGCTCCAAAAGAAAACAGCACGTACAGCAATTTTACAGAGTTCAGAATTTATCTAAATTTACAAAACCAGTTCTGATTGAACAATTCTGCAAAACTATATACAGAACTTCCAAAATACAGTACAGAAAATCTAACAGCCACTACGGAACTAGTCCCTACTGCTCCGATTTAACTTCAACTTCTACCAAGTTGGCATCCTCCAAATTTTCTTCTTCCAGCATTGATTCCAAGGGTGCCTCACCATCTGCTCACATCCACAACAGATGATCATTGCATTGACAAGACGGACATACAGAAACAGTAGACAACACAAGGAAATTGCAAGGGTAAGCTTAGGTAATTTAATTCAATACAATCAACATACTTTTTAACGTAGTAAATCAATCATACATTTCATACAACATTAAACATATATATCCACGCATACAGTAACTCATTCGAATTCTCATAATTTAAGACTGTCCGGACTGTATGATCCATGTATCTACAGGCGTTCCTGCACCCGGGTGATGTAATAACTGGGATACCCTCAACAGCTGCCACCCGAGGTTAACCCTTATCAGTCCAAAGTACTATGTAGGACTAGGGCCTCCTGCCATTCCCACGCATGAACTACTCTCCTCTACATGAGGATGAGCAATCACGGAATATCAGGATGAACAGCCATCAGCAGCTTTACCATGGTCATACCACACTACTTCTCATATTCACATCATGGAGACGTTCCTCCTTGGAACGCTCATTCACAATCCAATCCAATAAAAATTCATTCCAAATACCATTCGCACATTTTAACCATTTCTCATATTCAAATTTCCATTCTGTGTTCCACTCTCTTATTTTAAACAACAGTTTATCCTTTAATAGATCAAAATGAATGTATTACAGCACACTGCAACCTCGTTTCTGAACAAAAG